GGTGACCCATCCAAGCTGAATTTTAGACAATTTCATACTTTTATTAAATGTGCGAGACTTTTCATTGTGAGGTTTTCTTAAAGGACATCTTTTTGTTTTACAGCATTCCTCCTCACTTCAGCCCACTGTCATTTTCCGTAACAGCGAGAGACAATCCCACCAAGGAATCGTGATCGCTTTAAGATTTAAATGCCGTTAGCAAAATACAGCAGGACTGCCAACTCTATAAAGAGTCCAAGAGGTCCCAAACTTTTAAATTTCACAAAAACTGAGACCACCCAACGCTTTACTCTTTCCAAAGGTCTACAGAGAGTTCCTTGGACTTCATGGCTTGGCTTTGCTCCGGGCATAAAGAGTTATTTGTGGGACTTTTACTCCTTATGGAAACACAGCACAAGCTTACAGTTAAAGCACATTTACAGCCTGGGACAAACACATGTTTGATCCCTATGGACAGTTTCCCCATCTAGGATAGGGTTAGAGATGGGATAAGGATAAGCAGTAGAGAATGATTGAAACAACTCTGACTGGGGTGATTTTTTTTCATAACTCTTCCATCCATAGCCAGTCAGAGTTTGTTTTACTAGTGTTTTATTCAGCAATAAATTGCAGATATACACACAGTTTATGGATGCTGCTTGCTAACCATTAACTTAACTTAGCATTAATAAATCAAAAAAAACTAATAAATAAAAACATTTGGAGGCAGCTAAAATAAAGCAGTCTGAAAGAAAACTTTACAGTTTTAAAAAAGAAAGGAAAAAACATCAGATATATATTTACCGTCACTGTTTTGGCATCAAGCTCTGTGAAAATGAACTCTCCTCCTCCAAAGTCCTCATTCAAATAAAGGATGGCACTGCAGGAGTGAGACACCAGGAGGTCAGCCGGTCCTTGTCATCAGGGTGGGTTGTGTAGACAGAAAGTGTGTGTGTGTGTGTGTGTGACCATACCTGTAGTCTCTGTAAGTGTATGCAGGAGGTTCCTTCACACACTCGTTGACCTCAGAAACCAGCACACAGTTGTCGGCGTGGACGGGGTGACTCATGTCCTTACGGCCGTCCTGCTTCTCTGAACAAACAGGAGCACAGAGAGAACATTTGGACAATTTAGGCCCAAAAACTTTGTAAAAACAATTAGCAGCTAGCTGAGAATTCAACAGCTAAATATGTTTATTTGTGTATTTATTGTCAGGAGGTAGTGGAGACCAAAATGGTACTGAATTTAGTATATTTTACTGCACTAACTTCAGTTATTACATCACAGTTACAATTTTGTTGCAAGCACCGTGAGGCAACTGTTATTGTGATTTTGTGTTACATAAATAAAACTGAATTTTACTTGTGTTCTAAGGTTCTTCTCTACAAAGTTGTCTGCATGCTGGGTAGATAAAAATCAAACAAACATGCGTTTACTTCCTGCCACTCGTGCTACAGTCTGCTGATTTTATGTCTTGATGCATGCACAATCACCTAAGTAAGGAAAATCCCAAAAGGTTTCTGTTCATCTGGATGTAGCATTTTCAGTGGGAGAAACATTTCGTCACTCATCCGAGTGACTTCTTCAGTCCAGGACTTTGAAGTAACAAACTAAATCTCTGTTTGTCTGTCTGCCAGCTCTACGATGAGGAGTTGAGCAACCAAACACATGGCACAGGTGCATCTTAGACCCCTGAAAGTTGTTATCTATGTAACACATTATGATGTTACCATGTTGCCTAGCAACCACCAACCAACTGCCATTTACCTGTCTAACCATCGTATGATTTTTATTTCACAACAGCAGCATCTAATTTATATTGACAAAAATCAACTATTATTAGATATACGATATGTTACAATGGCATCACGTTACTTGGCAACCACCTAACAATGGTCTACAATGACATTTATATCGTACCGCGGGGCAGGACGGGCATGTCCTAGCAGATCTAACAGATAAACGAGATCATTTGGGAGGGTTGGGGAAAAAAATGACACACTGTCAGTGGTTAGCTTACCATCGATGGCAGAGCGACAGACCAGGTGGGAGTATGTGAAATAGAGTGGAGTGTCCAGACGGAAGTAGGACTCTAAGACCTTCCTCACTTTCTCACTGAGGTCAAAGAACAGACGAGCGCTCTTCAGAGGGACCTTCCCCTCCTGGCCAAGCTGTGAGAAGCAGAAAAACCATGTAAAAGCCGGGACAAGGAGCAAAACAATGTTGAGTCTGTTTTTATATAGAACTATAAATACAAAAGTGTTCCAGGAAAGAGCCTCTTCCCTCTAAAGAGAACACGTCTTAGGTTTGCAAAGCTTCAGGTTCTTTGGACAGACAAGACCAAAGTGGAGATCTTTGGCTAGAATTCCCAGCGACATGTTGGGAGAAAACCAAACACTGGCTATCAGCACAAGCACATCATACAAAGTGTCAAGCACGGTGGTGAAGGGGTGATGATTGGTCCATGCTGTGAATAAACGAATGCCTGCAAACCTCAATCAACTGAAGCAATACTATAAAGAAGAGTCGGTCAAAATTCCTCCGCAATCATCTGAGATGCTGATAAAATAATACATCAAACAATTACTTCAAGTTATTGTTGCTAAATATAATTCTACAAGCTACTGAATCAACAGTTTTTCACAGGACTGCATTATGTCGTGGAAAAGTGATATACTGTCAGGTTCTAAGTAGGGATGCACCGATACCGGTATCGGGTATACTCGTAATCGTTAAAAGTCCCCCGATACCGGGAACCGATACTACGGTCTGAGACCTGTCTATGTTTGAGTGGCATGTAAGGGGTTAATCACAGGCCCCGAGTGCCCGCCCCTAGGCCCCGGCTGCAGCTCAGAGCGGGGAGAAGGCGAGGTGAGACAAGTCAGCCGTGTGGAACTATTTCAAAGTGAACGAAGACGCGAAAACAAAGGCGGACTGCAAATTGTGCTCAGCGAAATTGTCCAGAGGAGGCTCTAAAGGTAGCGCATTTAACACAAGTAATTTAATCAAGCACCAAAATCCCAACACCACAACGAG